TGTAAAGTGTGTGTGGTTATATACAGTGTCCCACCACGAACTCCATCGATGGATATATGGGAAACCGCTTGAGCAATTTTTTTGAAATTGTGATGGCGTGATACGGGCCGTGAGGCCTACCAAGCTAAAATATTCTCAAGGTCATCGTACTTCCGGTTATACCGGAAGTCGATACCAACATTCTTATTTTAAATGGAACCCTTTGTGTATTATTGAATTTTTGGAAGAAGCATTTATTTTTAAGTTGAAAACATATAGCACACTCCATACTTAGGATTGACCGTTTCCGATATAATTTGATTTTTAGTCAAAAATTGACAGACACAGACTGTCAGGAAAATTTAATTTTCCCGAAAACACAGGTTTGTTTTTTTATGCGAATTGGACATTTTGTAGAGAAAGACTTAATTTATCGGATTTGATATGAAAATTTTCCAGCTTTTATACAAGGTGGTCAAGAAAAACCACCACAATTTCAAAAAAATCCTTCAAGCAGTTCCCAGATATCCATCGTTGGAGTTCGTGGTAAGACACCCTGTATATTATGGTGTTTAATTCGTACTTATTTAATATTATTTTTTGTATATCGGCCTGTTTAGATTTAGTTATTTCTATTCCCATTTTTTTTTTGTAGTTATTGTAAAATAAACAGGAAGCGGAATCAGTATTATGGAAATTGCTCCAAAATCTATGATACTAAAATATGTATAAATATTTAAAAAGAAGTAGATATTTCCCCATATCTACGGCAATGGCAATTAAAATGCAGACCAACTAGCGGGATTTATGGATATTAAATGCACGAATTACCAATAAAATTCTGTGAAACTACCAACATACATTTTTAAAACATAAAAAAAATGTCATTTTATTTTAAAACGTTTTAGGATCTCTATTTTGGAAATTTATATAACCCTTTTTTAATTTTTTTTTAAATCTTCGTTTTATCTCAGTACTGCTATATTAAATAACTTAAACCAAATTTGTTCTTAGCATTTTCAGATTTTTAACTCTCGGGTTATCTTCAAACAGCTTGAATATTTTTTATTTTCTTTGCATTTGTACGATCATATACAGACGAAATCACCGATTTATCTCTGACAGAGATAAGATACCGATTCCTTGAAAATCTAGCATTTACGAGAATGGAATTCCGATGTATTTTGAAATATTCCAAGTTCCCGTTACAAGTAACGGGTTTATCCACTTTACAGATCAGGTGAAAATCCTTCATCACTACGTGTGCTTTGTCGCAGTGTCTTTCAGAAAACAAGAGAGTTCTGGGAAAGCTTGATTCTTATGAAATTACATTTCAGAATTTCCAAAGGCTGAAAACATTATTCCGCCTTATCAGTGGTTAGCGAAAATTAATATGACGACATTATTGATGACCATACGTTTATAATGAAGTGTGGAACCAATATAATTTTTTAACCACATAGAGATCTCGAAAAGGATTGTGCATATGTTTCATAATCAGCCGATAGATACTAACAAGTGTTTTCTTATTTTTCGCAAAATTTTCCTACAGATATTAAGTACTACGGAGAAAAATTAATTCTGTCGTGTATACAGGGTGATTCATTAATAATGCGACAGAGGTTAATAGCAGGTTGCTGACTCCAAAATAGAACCATTAAGCCTTAAACATGTCTTATCCGAATGTCGCTCTCGATCTACAGGGTGTTAAAGTTGAAAAATTTTTTCGATTTTTTAAATTATCTTGAGCACCTTTGAACCGATTGTCTTCAAAGTTTACATGCTTATGTTTTCTGAGGTGGTAATTACGAAAATGATAACTATTTTGCTATCGGTTCTAGGGAACGATACTTACTCGAGAACAGCTATGAGCAGAAATACAAGAATCTGCTGACACTATCAGAGAACAACAAAGAACTCTATTCAAAGTCAGATAGAATTTTAAAGAGAGAATAAAAAAGTGTATTGAAATCAATGGCAGTCACTTTGAGAATCTTTTGTAATTCGTAAATTAGACGTAAGCATAATAAAATTTTCAGTTACTCTGACAGAACACTACAAGTAGCGCCCCCTAGAACTAATAGCAAGATTGTTATCATTCTCGTAATTAGAAAACCTAGGCATATAAACTTTCAAGAATTAAATAAGTTCAAAGACATTCAAGATATTATTATATATAAGAAATCGAAAAAAAATTTCAGCTTTGACACCCTGTAGATCGAAAAGGGACAAACCTGCCATTAAGCTCTATCCCATTGTTTGTATCTATCGGTTGATTACGTAAAAAAATATATTTCGAAAATACATGTGCAACACTTTTTGGGATATCAATGTCTGCCACCCTTATCTTAACCCTGTATGTCACAAATTTCAATCGAATTTTTTATCTTTAAAGTTCTGAATGTCGTAAAAAATCATGCCCTAAAAAAACGTTGTAGGTCCAATGATTCATTATCCATTTACAAACACATTAATTTTCGCCAGTCACTACGTATCTTACTTTCCGAAAATTCGAGGTAAAGTAATTAATCTATTGTTTTAGTCACGATATCTAATATTTAGCGTTGCTTTGTAATGTTGAATCCTGCAAATAGTTGAGATTGTCATGGAACGTGGTTACGTTTTCCGCTGTTAAATTTACTAAACAAACCGTTAGGCAAATTCTGTATTAAGAAATAATATATTATTTTAAAAGATAATTTATAATCCTATTCTTAAATAAAGGACATATAATCCAAGCAATTCTTTTTATACAGAGTGTTCGCGAAAGGTTGGTAAATCTCGAAACTAGAGATACTGGTGGCCAAAATAAGTCGATTGAACCAAATAAGCCTTAAGCAAATGTTGCTGGCTTCAAAGATAGAGCGAATGTTTGAATTTTATTTTGAAATTTCTCAATAATTTTGAACCTCAACCTTTCGCAGACACCCTGTATAGTGAATGCCTTGTTATCCAACTCACCGATAGTACTAACTTCTTTTAATTTTTCACCCTTAAGTAATATAAATTATTAGATCGTTCTTCGTTACTTTTTCTTTTAGAATCCCCCGTAAAGAGGGGGCAACTAGACATTCTTGCGGACCATGCAATTATAAAAAAAAATATTTAAAAAACATGTCCTTTCTCTAGAACACAACGGGATTATTATAAAACACTTTTTATAGTACACATTTTATTGCTTAATGTAATATTGATTTGTTGAGTAAATTTGTAGTCTTGGCTTTGTCCATAGTGGGAGATCAGTAAATAAACCAAGATATTATACAAATTATTCAAGCAAATTAAAAAAAAATCGACAAATATAGACATTAGACATTGTTTATTGGTGTTAATCATACAAAAGTATTTAGACAAGTCAGAATTGAGGAAAAGAAAAGAAAACAAACAGGCAGATTAACAAAATAGGAACAAAAGGAGAACCAAAATATCGCGTACAGAACCACCACAGAACCAATATAAAATAATTAAAATAATAAAACAGTAAAATCTACGTACTAAACATTCACAGGTCATAACAGGGTCAAATAAAGTAAAAGCAGCAGGCTAATAACTAGACGCATATACATAATACAAATACTGATAATAATTAAAAAAATAAATAAACAAAACATCAAATAAAGGACAAATTGTGATCCAAAATAAAACATCAAATAGTAGACAAACTGTGATCTAAAAATTCTTGGGAGCTATAAAATGCATTTCTCAACAGAAACTGTTTTATTCTAAATTTTAAAAATCTGAAATTTAAATTTCTTACCTCTACTGGTAATGCGTTAAAAAATTTTATTCCCCAGAAGCCCGACCCATTTCTAGTTTTTTCAAGTCTAAGATACGGAATATACAGGGTATTCCATTAAAAAGACATACAAATTTGACTTATATTTCCGAAAAGCAATATTAATTTAATATATATCCCGAAATTCATGGAACAAAATTTTGTCACAGATTCTTAAGACAAATTTAAGGAACACGTATTTTTTATTTTTGCCAAGTGGTCCCTTCTTTCTGAGTTACAGCTCCCTGAAATCCGCCCCTAAAAGAATATTTTTTTTTTATATCTCAGTACCCTGTTGTACGAGAATCACTAAATTTGGTACACAGGGGTTTTATAACATGCGAAATCTTACAGTGCTGCGCTTTTTAGAGGGGAACCCCTTTAAGACACTTTTTTCGTGGACCCTCTTCTCTTTGGAGCCAAAAAAATTTGGTCGCATATTTGAATTTCTTAAAAATTATTAGTTCGCTAGAAAGCCATTGAATTTAGTAACTTTTTTTCCCTTGATATTTTTTCGTAAACCGCAATGTTTTCGAGAAAAATGGCATCAAATTTTGCCGGAATAATAATTTTTAAGAAATTCAAATATGTGACCAAAAGACTACTCCTAAGGGCGGATTTCAGGGGGCTGTAACTCCGAAAGAGAGGGCCACTTTGCAAAAATAAAAAATACACATCCCCTAAATTTGTCTTAAGAATATGTGACGAAATTTTGGTGCACCGGGTATTTCTTTCAGATCGCAAATTTGATTTATTGTTGACACCCGCTCTTGATCTGAAATACGTGTCTTTGTTGTGGCATGGGGCATTATTGGTTCTATTCTTTTAATACCAAGTTAATTTCTGTGTTTTTAAATTCCATTCCCACCACGGAATAAACCAGCAACTAGTTTTAAATTTTCATTGTCGACTTCAGCTGATCATCGACTCGTTAATAAGGCGTGGGTGTCTTCTGTAAGAAGAGACAAAGTGACAAACTTCGTAAAAACGTCTTAGCGCCGTCTTCTTCCTCGCGTGCAGCGGTACAGTAACCACTCCATCTCCGTCTAACCAAGCTCAGCTGAGACGTATCGACAATCAGTTCTCTAAACTGCCTTCCACGCAAGCAAACAGGCTCGTCGTGGAGGCTATTACGCCGAACGAGAGGGAGACCCATCCAATGGGGGTTACCGCAAGGCCCCCACCCTTGCCTATTCCGAGACTGTGAGCGTCCACGATCCTCTGCCAGGCCGTAGTTCGCTTCGAGCGCACAGTTAAATACACGGTAGACGAAATTAGGCCCGAACTGCCACGGACAATTAACTGATTAATTAAACATTTAGTGAGTGAATTTGACAGTGCGTGCCGAGCTTAACAGGGAACGATGTTTGATGTGTTCGGCTCCGTCAAGGGGCTGCTCAAAATCGATGCGGTATGCATCGACAACAACATATTCCGCCTGCATTACAAAGCTACGGTGATTATTCTGATAGCTTTCTCTTTGCTGGTGACGAGCAGGCAGTACATAGGAGACCCCATCGACTGCATCGTGGACGATATCCCCCTAAATGTCATGGACACGTACTGTTGGATCTACTCCACGTTCACGATACCCAACCGGTTGACGGGGCGCGTCGGCCAGGACATCGCCCAACCGGGGGTGGCCAGCCATGTGGACGGCAAGGACGAGGTAAAGTACCATAAGTACTACCAGTGGGTGTGTTTCGTCCTGTTCTTCCAAGCCATGTTGTTCTACGTGCCACGCTACCTGTGGAAGACGTGGGAGGGTGGCCGCATCAGGATGCTGGTCCTTGACCTCAACTGCCCCATCGTGAGCGAAGACTGCAAGAAGGACCGCAAGAAGCTGCTGGTAGATTATTTCACGGTTAATCTGCACATGCAAAATTTCTACGCCTTCCGGTTCTTCATATGCGAGGTATTGAATTTCGTTAACGTGGTAGGTCAAATTTTCTTTATGGACTTCTTCCTGGACGGGGAATTTAGTACATACGGCAGCGATGTACTCAAATTCACGGAACTGGAACCGGAAGAGCGCGAGGATCCGATGGCCAGGGTGTTTCCTAAAGTAACGAAATGCACCTTCCACAAATACGGTCCTTCTGGGTCGGTGCAGAAGTTCGACGGGCTCTGCGTGCTGCCCCTAAATATCGTCAACGAAAAAATTTACGTGTTCCTGTGGTTCTGGTTCGTCCTACTCAGCGTGTTGTCAGGCATCTCCCTCATCTACCGTTTCTGCGTTATCATGGGCCCTAAACTCCGTCTCTACCTGCTCAGAGCCAAATGCCGCATTGCCGCCTCCGATCAAGTAGAAACTATTGCCAACAAGTGCGAAATAGGAGACTGGTTCGTCCTCTATCAACTAGGTAAAAACATCGACCCTCTCATCTTCAAGGAAGTGATCTCAGACCTGTCGAAGAAGCTGGAGGGAAAAGAGACAGTCTAACGAGCATTTCGAACGAATCAACAAACGACGCGTGCCTTCTCGAACAATTCATTTAAAAGACTTAGAAAAAGTATTGAGATATCTAGGTGCACGCATGTATACGCTTGGTAGGTAACCAAATTCTGTTATCGATTTACCTGCTGCACCCTAAACTCGCGATTGGGACGCCATTCCAAAAAAGTATATGTTAATTAAAGGACCAATTATAAAGTTCTGTGATGACAGAAAAGACTGTAATCAATCAATGTTTTCCGGCCACCAGCCGCTTGGATCGGCTGTGATAAATCATTTACTGTCTTAGGGGTACAATAGCTCAAACATGTCATTCCATAACTGTTTTTATCGCTTTTTATTTCCTAAATTGTAATAAGTACTGCCAGAACGTTGCGCACTACGGTTGAAATTTAACAGGCAATAATAATTCGGAGACCGCTTTCGCCGCTGGCCACGAGTGCAGCGCACAAGATGGCCTTCTGCTCCTCAGCGGAGCATGCAATAATATAGAACGTGTCTTGCCCCCTTCGTTGTCGAAGGAACATGCACAGTACGGTCGGCGAAATCGTACTCTCTGTGATAGATCTGAAATGATTATTGTGTAAAAAATGCTCTGTTTGTTTTTACATCATGTAGCATGTAATTATCAATCATTAAGTTAATACATATGTGATGTCTAGGCTATAGTTTAGATTAAGTTCCATACGTACAATTCCAAGACGAAACGATATAAGACAATTTTTACATTCGATTCCCTTTTATAATATTTTAATTTGTATAAAAATATTATGTGTTCAGACTATGATTATATATTGTATATTATAGAATTTTAATAAGCCAAAAGTGCCTTAAAATTTGTATGGAATTATTATATTTAAAAATAATAAATTAAGTGTTTTAATCGCCTATCTTTTATTTCTGTTTCCTCATGTAATAAATTACCAACCATGATTATAAATTATCAAACATTACTACATATTTTCATTTAAACATTTTTATTTGCATAAATTAACACTATTGAGAAGATTCATACACAACAGTTGTTATTATTGTTTTCCTAATTGCTATAAAAATAATCCTTCCGTTCTATTTTAATCAAATTAAGTTATCAACTGATATACAAGGTCATGATTTAATAATATCAATTTTTCTTGGGGCCTACAATTACGTAGAATAAAATACATCTAAAAACAAAAATAATTTCCATTGTATAATTAGCAGTATACTTGGACATAAAAAACTTAAAATATCTTCATATAGTTAAGTGAATCCCCAATAAAAATATTATATACAATTTTTATTTCCAAATAGTGCATAATTTCAAATGAAACACATTTTAATATACGTGTTAAGTTAAGGTGAGTTAAATATGATAGTTTTCTTTGCTATGATAATATTGTATAGTAATAATCTAACATTGATCAAAATAAATACTTTCTTATTAGTTCCTATTCTTTTACTTTATTTACTTATTTTATTCCAAATCCATGTTAAATGCACAAACGTGTTTAAGCATGTCCAAAAAAAAAGAAAGAAGTTAATGAAAATACTATTTATAAATAAATTAATTAAACAACTTAAATTACAAAATATACTTTAAACCAATAATAAAAGACTAAAATAGAGTTTAATTTATAAAAAGTATGTACGAGTTACATGTTCTAATTCACATTGACTTATGTTATCTAGTAATTTAAATTATCTAAATATTACTAAGTGAAAAACGCATACCTAACTACTGAATTCATTACATAGTATAATCTTTCCAAGAAATATGTTTTATTCTTATTCTAAAGTTACCTTTGACAAACACCAACACATAACATGGCCGTGATGGACAGATCTCAGCTATTTCTGCATGTTGAGGTTTGATTTTTAAAGTGGTCTTCCTGAATGAAAATAATAAAATATTAATAGAACAATGGAATTTGAAAGGCAATGTCAAAAGTGTCTATAATATTAATATATTAATTTTCTATGTAAACAATACTTGTCCTTTTTAGTAATATACTCCACTAATTACACTAATATGTATTATATTATATTTTTTATGCATTTATGTGTAACTTTATTATTATTAGCTCTTGCACTTTACGTAGCTCTAATATTCTTATACAGGGTGTCCCGAAATTCATGCAACAAAATTTGGTCTTAAATTCTTAAGAGAAATTTAGGGGACCCGTATTTTTTCTTTTTGCCAACTGACCCCCTGTTTCGGAGTTACAGCCCCCTGGAATCTGCCCCTAAGAAGTCTTTTTTATATCTCAATACCATGTTGTACGAGAATCACTAAATTTGGTACACAGGGGTTTTATGACATGTGGAATCTCACAGTGCTACACTTTTTGGCGAGAAACCCCCTTAAGACACTTTTTCGTGGGTTCCCTTGTCTTTGGAACCAGAAAAATTTGGTTGCAAATTTGATTTTTTTTTTTTTAAATTATTAGTTAGCTAGAAAGCCATTGAATTTAGAAACTTTTTTGTCTCTTGATACTTGTTTCGTAAAACGCAATGTTTTTGAGGAAAATGGCGAATCACGATATGCATTCGATCACATTTTGACATTTTTCTCGAAAACATTGCGTTTTACCAAAAAGAGTATACAGAGACAACAAGTTTCTAAATTTAATAGCTTTCTAGTGAACTGATAATTTTTAAGAAATTTAAATATGCGACCAAATTTTTTTGGCTCCAAAGACAAGGGAGCCCACGAAAAATTGTCCTCGCCAAAAAACGTAAAACCCCTGTGTACCAAATTTAGTGATTCTCGTACAACAGGGTTCTGAGATATAAAAAAGGGGCGGATTTCAGAGGGTTGTAATTCTGAAAGAGGGGGCCACTTGGCAAAAATAAAAAATACGGGTCCCCTAAATTTGTCTAAAGAATCTATGACCAAATTTTGTTGCATGCATTTCGGGACACCCTGTATTTATGCACTGATCTTTGTAAAAGGTGATATTAGAACAACAAGAATAGAAATATGTCTTTGAAATATTAATTGGAATATGTAAGTTATGTATTTTTTCAATTAAAAATGTGTACATCATCACTTTTAATTTTTATTTTTGAAAACTATTCATTACGAACTATTGGTGCTAGAATAGTTGTTTCCCACATTATTAACAGTTAAGAATCTTGTCTAAGGTTAGATTATCAACTGCATATCCAGATTTTTGGTATCAAAGAACGTTGTCTTCATTTGATTGTACCTTCAACAAGATTATTTGAAATGATTTGAATTATGAATTTGAAAAACCTTTAAAATAAGGTAAAATTAACACTGATACTTTAAACTTTTCAGATTTGAATGCAATTTAATGTACAGGTGTCCCACTTAACTAAAATTTTGTTGAAATAAAAGTTGTAGTGTTTTTTATGAAGATTCTGTTTGTAGCAACACAAAAACAATTCAAATTCAATTCAATTCAATTCAAATGTCGATATGACAGATACAACTTATTTTTTTAATGGAACATCCTGTAAATTATCACATTTTTAGATGTACATTTTTTTTCTGAACAAAAGTATATAACATTATGTGGCACTTATTTTTGACAGTTTTGATATATTTGCATTCAAGGTTGCCATCATATTATTGATATTTTGTTTCCAATAATTATTTTGACGTTTATGGCAATTATAATAACAGTAAACAGTAGTTGTGAATTAATTTTTGGTAAATTTTAAAGTGGGAAATATTACTACGTTCTTCACGTATTTTCAAAAATATTTTTTGGATGTATACAACAGTAAAGGAAATTATTACGAATTTGTAATAATTAGTAGTAGTTTACCATGTAGTCATCCACAGTTATAACTGCCCTACGATCGTTTACCTTTGCACTTGGATATACGTCATCATAAATGTTCAGTTGTCATGTACTCGCGCATATGGTACTCTACCATTTGTATGATTATCGTTAATACCTTCCGACTCCTATCCGGCCTTTATATTTTGGAGTCCGTTGAACCCATCAACGCACAGTCTGTACCAGAGCATAATAAAAGACCCATATAATTACATACACCTTAAAAAAGACAACGGCTACTAAAAACGCATCGGTCGAGTAATTGTGTTTCGTAAGAAATGTGTCACTTGAAATTATAGAAGCGAAAAACATTAGCGTTCATGGTTGCTGCTGAATTGCGAAATAAAGGCAAAAAGCTAATTCAGTTGGAATAGACCCATATTTTTTGGATTTTCCTTAATGGATTCAAGAGTTGCTACAAACAAAAGCTTCAGTATGATCTAGTAAAAACAGCACTGCAACTGAAAACAAGGCAAATATGTAGAGTGTAGATAAATATACTTAGTTAAGTTGTAACTGTTTGTTTTTTTAGAACTTATAACCAAGATTTTTAAATAATAACACATTTCCGGGATCAAAGATTATACCTACAAATTGTAAAATTTCAGAATGTTACACAACAAATCTACTGAGATTTAACAATGAATTACAACAATGACATGTCAAAAAAAAACAAACATATTCTTCATCTGCTACAGAACCTATTTGTGCTAGACACTACTACAATTGTTTTGGTGAAAGTAACTAATATTAAGGAAAATTTGGATAGTGAGCTTAGGGGCTTCAACCAACTAAACTAAAACAATAAATAAAATGGACAAATATTTGTGTGGGAATTTAGATAGATGTAGATTATGATCCTATTACTAGACTAGAGTAGTATCATGGATGTAGATGTACAAGTTTTAGGAAAAGGTATTAAACACTATTTTTTTAGCCTAACAAAGATATTCAGGCTAGATTTCTCTCTATTAAATAAATACGTATTTTTACCTATAATGTGCCGAATGCGCCAGATACAATATAAAATTTCAATTACAATTATGTAAATTATTGTCTTCAAAGATCAGCAAAACGCAGATTTTTAGATTATTTTTTTTTAATTTATAGACACAACATTTAAAAAAAACATATTTTTTACTATTATCCAATTAGAAAATATTTTATCCTAAAAAAATCTTCAAACGAAGTCAGTGTTCTTTGATACCAAAGATATGCAATAAACTCTAACTTTTAGAAAACATAGACGGTGGTAAAACTACTATTTATCTTGCTTTCCTCAAACTGTAACTAGAAAAAGATTTTAGAATTGACGAGTAATTTAAAAATTCAAAATTTTAAAATTAAAAGTAAAAAAAATAACTCGCCTTCACCAAAGATACCATTTATTATTTATCCATATAAATACTGAATTAATAAAATTAAGATATTTCGTTATACTTAAATATACAAGGTGATAAGTTTTATGTTAAATACCAAATCAACTTATGTATTTTTTACGATTTACCAACTTACCTCCATCCTCATCACCTTCTGAGAAAAGGCCCTATGAATTTAGCTTTGCGGTATCCTATCTTCGGAGGGTTGTTTCAGTAGACATTGACTTTTTAGTAAATATTTGCTTTAGCTATAAATTTTGCAAAAAAATTAAGTTTTCACAAAAACTATGCATTTTAGAGGCTATCAACAACTATTTTTTTGTAGTAAATAAAATGACGTTGCGATAAACACCTGAGTTTTCTAAAAAAAAACGAAAAATATTTATCAAAAAAAAAACAATAGACTCTAAGGTGTTCTTAACCGACCTCTTTTAGGTAGGGGGAAAAATAAACGTATACGTAAACGTAGTTCTAATAATATAACCTCCTGTATTAAAAAAATTAAGAAATCATCGTAAAAGAAAAATTAGACAAAAAGTGTCTCTCTGAACATTTTAAAGAATGATTTTGGTACTCAGGTATATGATATGGAATATTTGGTTAATTGCTTTGGTTTTTACACCCCATTGTGACTCACGATAATGTTGTCTATACTACTAAAGGATATTAGCAATCCATTTATAAGGAAACTATTTAAATATAAGTCGAAGAAAT